ATCAATTTTTGAATATTAAATTTAAATGAAAATTAAAAAAATTATTTCGAATAAAATGTTATATTACACAGTTATATTGAGGAATATTTTTTTTAATTATGATAAATGAATTAAATTGATAACAAATTGATGTTTTTTAAATAAAGAATTATGCATTCGTGAAAAATATCTTCTAGATTACATATTTTTTAAAATATATATTTCTTTGAAAATATAATAATTTGAGATAATGTATCATATTTTATATTACATTATATTATCGAACTCTTAAAGAAGCTACATTGTTAAAAGATAAAAAGATTAAAAGATAAAAAAAAAAATTTATATTTTATACTAAATATCTCATTATCAGATATTATCATATGTAAATACTGAAGTTACAAAACTCTGAAAACTTAATCGATTTTAATAATCTTTATATCATTGTACATATATAGATATTTACATATCTACATCTAATATACTAATAACAATTAGATTAAAATATATATAAATGGAATAATAATAGAAATAAAAAATTAATATGAAAATAAAATAATAATCAAAAGATTTAAATGATTATAAACTACTTTAACAAATAATTTTTATTATAATTGATAGATAAAAAAATTATTCTCTATTGTGTAATCTTCATTCATTTATTACCTTGCAAAATATAAAATAAAATTATATAATAAATAAAAATAAATTAAAATAAAATTAAAATAAAATTATATAAATTATTTACCTATAAATTATTTATATTATTTCAAAAAAATTCAATAAATTGAATAAATTATGACATAGAAAAAATCTAACTTTTTTAAAAAAATTCAAAACTAATAATCTATGTAAACAAAAAAAAATAATTGCTGCAGAGGGTTAACGAGCTAAGCGACACAACACATCACGCATTAAATGAAGAAAGTAGCTCTAGACATTTAATTCTAATTTTACATTGTTTATAATTAATGTATTACGTAATGAAAAAATGAATATTTATTCTCTTTTCGTTTTCCCCTCTTTATCAAGGGAAACAGGAAAAGAGAAGTTATCCTCTGGATCATGCGTACCTGGATAAATACGGATTTGGTTCAAACACACAGACATTGGTGATAGAAATAAAAAGGCAAAACACAATTTGTTTTTTTTTTTGTAAAAACAATAAATTATTTGTATTTTTGCAATCCAGAACGGAATGTCTCTGTACAAGCTTCTTTTCAAACAGAAATGTTACAAATTCTGCTAGATAAACGACACCATTACTGGTCTATAATTTTATTTATAAATATTATTCTCACTTCATTTTCATTTAAAATGGATATTTAAATAAAAATTCTTCATGAATTTCGATAATTTAATAAAAAAATCATTTATAAAAAGAAAATAAAGATTTTTTATAATATAAATATAATGTAAATATCAAAGGAATTTAATTTCAATTTTAATTTTATATATATGAAAGAAAAAGAAGAATATCAATGAAAAATGCTTAAAAATCAATTATATATAGTAAAAAAAATACGAATGACCAGTTATAGTATTGCTTACCTAGTAAATTATGACATCATTCACTTTATGGCTCTCTTTCTTTCATTCTTATGAAACACACGGAATTTCTCTTTATTCCTCGTTTCGTCGACAAAACGATTCGAGAAAATAAAGAAAATACGTGACGTGAGGTCACCAAGCCAAGATGTTTTCAAATGCTACCTATTCTTTTACACCGCCAAAGTACCTCCATTCCACGTCGGTCAAGAAATATTTAATTTTCTATAAAACATTTTAAAAAAAAAAAATCTGTCTAATTCGCATTCTTCGTTGCCATCTCGATTTTTTTATCAGCTTAAAGATTTCATATAAATAAACATAGAAATAAGATTATAAGTATATAAATAACTAAATTCTTTAAAGTATTATATAAGTATTAAATTCTTTGGAAAGTTTGTAGTAAATTTAAAAATTTGAAAATTAATTTTTATCCAACAATATAAAATGTTCAATTTATAAAAAACTCAAGTTATCTCCTTTGAATTTCCAAAATTTATATTAATATATCAAGCATAAAAAATATTACAAATCATCCAATACAAAAAAAAATATTTAAAAAATAATTAATTAATTTTCTAAATAAATATATTGTATATATTAATATACAATATATACGAAACATTTTGTGTGTACAATGCGAATAGACAGAGATATGAGAATACTTTTTTATTGGATAGTCGGAAGAGAGAAAGAAAATAAAGAGAATAAAGTGATGCAGGTACAGATCGAAAGGTACTTTGAATTTTTTGTTCCATTGCATTCCTTCTATTGACTGCCTCATTCAACAGGCTTAGACGAGCTTCGAATACTTTGGCCAAAAATATTTATGTACAATCCGTCAATTATAATTCACACTACGTTGTTCGTTTAACAGTTATTGATACGGTATTGTAAATCGTGCAAGCTCCATTGTAAGAACGAGGAACCCGTAATTGGAAGCTACGAGAAGTTGTCGATGTATCGAGTATCGATTTGCCATGCTGTTCGATCACGTGTGAATCGCTTCGAGTAGAGGTATTCACGTTAATAAATAGAATAAATACACTATTACTACGTTTACTATTCTATAAATCTACTACTACGATTAGGCGGTTCGAATAATTTTTATTTGTAAAATGAGTTTTCAAACCAATAAAGCAATGATCCAGACAGTATACGACGTTTAAGTTATTTAAATTTGAATATCCCTTTTGCGCAATTAAATTATTATTGTTATCAATAAAATTTTACAAATCGAAAGTTACAAATTACAAATTACAATTATTGAATAATCAGATAACAAGAAAAATCTAAAAATTTTTTATAATAGGAAAATATATAATAAAATAAAAAATCATTTATTAAACTTTTATATTGTTTATAATAACTGTACTTATCTAATATACTTATCTAATTAAAATAAATTCAGAAAAATTTTTATTTTCAAAAAAGATTTGTAAGATATTTCTTGTTCAAATATTATTTTTCTTAGCTTATCTTTTGATTATTATAACTTTTATTAAACAAGATTAAATAATTATTTTTAGAATTCATTTAAAATAAAATTTTGGAAATTTTTGAAATCATATTTTATAAAAATCCATTTTTTTTCTGTCATAAAAAAAATGATAAATCATATTTGATTATTAATATATTCATATTGCATATAACAGTGACGAATTTAACAAATTAAGATAATAGAACAAATAAAATTTTATAAATAAATTTTATAAATTCCAAATAATCTAATTAATTATTTTCTTTGATATTGAATTATAGAAAAAGAAATATATATATTTATATTTTAT